GCTGGAGCCTATCCCAGCCGTCTTTGGACAGTAGGTGGCGTACACCCTGAACTGGCTGCCAGCCAATCGCAGGGCACACAGAGACAAACAATCATTCAGACTCACAATTTAGAGCAAACAATTAACCTACGGTGCATGTTTTTGGAATGTGGGAGGAAACCGTAGCAGCTGGAGTAAACCCTCGCAGGCACGGGGAGAACATGCAAACTCCACACAGGATGGCTGGGGCCTGGAATCAAACCCATGACCTCAGCATTGTGAGACGGACGTACCAACCATTCGATCACTATGCTCTTTCGGCCAATATAGTATGCAATAAAGACTTACTCGTAAACTACAGTGCAGCTCAAGTAACAATACTAGGCCCAACTAGTAGGCATGTGTTACACACTAGTCACTTTTTGGACAATACAGAGTTTGTTGAGTTAGCTGTTTTAACTCATTTTTGGGTGTGGGATCCAAAATTGTTCTCAGATTGTTTTGTTTTTTTTTCAAGTTTTTGAGCTATAGGATCCCCGTTTTCTTTGACGGTGAAGTCAACCCCCACATTTCCTTGATGATTTTCATGTGCCTCCACTCGTCTAAACATATAGATGCGACTGCCCTGAGTCCCGTCGTAATGAGCTCTCCATACTACAGTCGGTGGAATTTTCCTTATCTGGAGTGTAAAAGCCATGGAGAAAAACCTTTTTATACTGTCACTCCTGGTACTAGTCAATTAGTTGACGGCTTTATAGGAAGCATTTATTCAAAATGATGATATCCAGATTAGGATGCATGTACTAGTGCGCTATTTGTCTTCAGTAGAAAGACAATATACAGCATTGGTACATCGATTAGGGCGCACTCGTAGAACGGCTGTTTCCATTTTTTCCATTGCTAGCATCACTTTTGGCCCTCTTGCACGTCTTAAGGATGAATACCAAATTAATAATCATATAGTTTTGATTGCCTTTATATTGTTTAAGGTCCTAGGTACTAGTTGGACAACTATATGTTACTAGTGAGGCAAAACTAGTGAAACACTAGTAAAATTAGCTCATGTCATTTGTATCACCAGTAGCCCACAATTGTCAATCGGCTTGTCATGAAGCCATTTGAGCATTTCTTCGACATCCTTTGAGCGCGCCGAATAGCCTCACCGGTGAGGGCAAAAAGCGGACCAGCTCATGGACTTTGGATATGAAGGCTACGGACTAAATGCTCAATGGGTTTGCCATACGTGCCTGCGTGCGTGTTTGGTTGTGTGCGTGCTTTTGGCCTCCAGCGAGGGAAGGAGACGCACGAGGAGACGCTCATGAGAGGATTTGCTTCCCAAGCCACTGGTGCCTGCTAGTCTCCATCCTCAGCGGACCACAACGCGACCCCCCACACACACACACACACACACACCTCCCACACACACACGGGATCTTTTGACCGAGTCAGCCACACTTTGTTACGAGTTGCACACGGCACTATATTGGTCACGCTGGCTATCTTTTCTAGCGAAAAGACATCATCTCCGGAAACTAAACGTGACACACGTTCTCCTTAACACGACCCTTTCAACTTATTTTGGGGTGGGAGCGGGAGGAGTTGTCTCCCGGCAAAGTTCATCTGCTTTCTGTAAGTGAGTTGTTGATGCCAACATTTCTTTATGTTGCCAGTTTGATTTTACACTAAACGTTCTGGAAAGCCGTTCATTCCATATTGTCAATATCCATCTTACTGTAAGGTCCATGAACTAGGGCTGAACCATTTGTAAAATATCCAATTGAGATTTTTTTTTTTAACCTTCATATTGCGATTGCAATTTAACATGCGATCATTTTTTTCAAGATTCCTTCACATGTATTTTTTTTTTTAACACAAGCAATAAATTAATCTGTATTACAATAAAAACCTAAATTTATTACACCTAAATGTTTTGGTCTTAGAGGTTGGGCTTCCCTTAAAATAAAGCCAAATGAAGCATGAATTCATACGAATGACAGTTTACTTCAATTAGAGTTATCTTACTCAACAGTTTTAACTTGCAGTCTTTTAAGCGTTCATGATGACATGAACACGAGCCAGTAAATCACATGAGGTTGCAACAATGATGCAAACAAATCTGTGGCTTTATCACTTGAACTCTTCTAAACTTGTCGACTGCACTTCTTAAGTACTGAACCTATCTGGACACGCGATACGTAAATACATACATAAAATATACAAACATAAAAACTGACCGACTGCCCGAAAGGAAGCAAAGGTTTTTGTTTTGATTCCCCAAATTGTAACCTTTGCGATTTGAAAATTGCATTCTACTGCACTGCAACGTCGATTTGAATTTGATTAATTGTTCAGCCCTACCATGTACTAGTTCACACTCTGTTCTCACTCGTCAGCTAATTCAGTGCGCTAATAAAACAACTTTCTTACTAGGAACATTTTTTTCCACTACTAGTGACTTTTGTCCTACTAGTATGCTATTGTGCTCTTACAGCTACTGTGCTGCACTAATAGCACTACTAGGCCTAACGCACTACTAGGCCTAACTAGGAGATGTGCCATGCACCAGTAGCCTCTTGGACCCTACTAGTAGCACCAAAATGCCCACTAGTAATTTTGCCTCACCAGTAACACGTAAACGCCCGACTAGTGTGCAGAAATGTCATACAGCAGTGGGGGAAAAAAAATAAGACGGTTCTCGACTACTAGTGCACCATAGTCATTCTACTAGCGCGCCACTCGTCTTGAGCTCGTTTTTGATATCCATTTTATTTGCCATACTAGTGTTGATGGTGAGGCAAAACGATGTACTAGTCAAGTACTAGATGTTACCTCATAGAATTGCACAATGTCAAGGATTGAGCATTTATTTGAGATCCGTGACATCCAGTTTCAGGTCTATGTACTTGTGTTTTTTCAGACAGTTCAGCACAGTAGTAAAACCCCAATCTTACTATTAACGTCTTTTCCACGACTGCCTCCGACCACTGCATGGCATTTCTGCACACTGGTGGCGCAACTCTGTTACAACTGTGCGCTACTAGTGACATACTGGCCAACATCTAGTGTTTCACTAGGAGTCCTAATAGCACACAGTAATAGTAACATGTAGTTGTCCCTCTAGTGCAGGGGTGTCAAGCTCTTTTGTAGTTGTTGGTTTCCCTTGGAGGGCCGCTATGAATTTTGGGAAACCATGTAAATGTTGAATCACCTCCACATATTACATACACAGCGCACAACAAATTGATGGATAGCTAGTTTTAAAATCAGAAGTCAAGAATAATGACTGTTATTGCGGATTACAAATGACAATTTGAAATTTTGGTTCAGATTTTAGCAAGCATCATGGAACTTGACATGCTTGATTTGCTTTTGCGGGCCACATAAAATGATGTGGCGGACCAGATCTGGCCCCCGAGCCTTGACTTTGACACTCACTGTAGTGTGACAAATTTGTCAGTCTGTACGCATGGGTAGAAATGTCACGCAGTCGTGGAAGTGTTCGTTCTACGACAACTGCGCTGAATTGTGTTACTTGTTAGGACAAAGTGTGTACAAGTACATGGACCTTTAAGATAGATATTAAGGATATTTTTAAAAAAATGCTCAATCGGTTTTCCAAGGGACTATTGTGTACCAAGGACTATCGGGCCACACAGTAAACGATTAAAGAAAAAAGATGCCAATTTGCATGAATGAAGTTATAATATTACGAGAATAACGAACATTTTGCTAGAAGTAAAATTACAGAATGAAGTTGCAACAATACATGGAAAAAAAAGGAGAAATCTTGTCATACAACTTGTTTGTATGACAACAGATAATGTTTTTTAACAAGTCTCATAGTTCGACTTTATTCTTGGAAAATTTTTTTTTTTTTTTGGGGGGGGGCGTTTTTTTGGTCAAATTTTGGGATTTTTTTCTGGACTTTGCCATAAGATAAAATGTTTATAACATTAAGATTTGATGGCGTAATATAACAGGAACAGACTTGTAACATTTTGTTCTTCTGACGTTACAGCTTTGTTCGAGTCATTTTCTGGTAACCACTTTTTATTTCATGACTATTATTGTGAACATTGACTTTTTTTGATGCATTACTTTGAGTTACTTTCATTCCCATAACACTACATCTTTATTCGTTATTCTGCTATTTTTGTTTTTCTTGTCACATATCAGACTTTCTCTTTAGGATGATTTTATTCTTGTAACAACATGACAACTTCACTCTTGTATTTTTACAACTTCATTTTTGAAACAATTCAGTTATTCTCGTAATTTTACAATCTTTTTTTTCTTGTAACATGATGACTTTATTTTTGCGACATTACAAATTTTTTGAAATGTCTCGTGATGTACAACTTCAGGCTTGTAGCGCTCCAACTTTATTCCTATATTTTCACGACCTTCAGCTTGTAAAATGACTTTTTTTCCTTACAACGCCGTCCTTGTACCATCACGCCCTAGTTTTGTAATGTCACTCGTAAGACTTTATGCTCGTACTGTTCCAAATTCTTGTGAAATTATGAGTATATCCTGTTGAAATTATGACTATAATCTTGTAAAATTACGTCTTTATTTTCATAATCTTACTTACTTTAATTTTACATTTTTCTTTTTTTTTTTTGCTACCCAGTGTGGCCCAAATCCTCTTTTTGAATTCACCTTTTTGTTTGTTTTGCAAATACAGAATCGTGCTTTAGAGTGCCCACTGAAGAGGTTCTGATGCCGTAGCGCTGTAAACATCATTCCTCACAGTTCGGCTTTACAGGTGTGTGTGTGTGTGTGTGTGTGTGTGTGTGTGTGTGTGTGTGTGTGTGTGTGTGTGTGTGTGCTCACTTTGAATGTGTGTCCTCGTGCAAAGTGTTCAGCCAGTTTGGAGAATGACCAAATGTTTGACACAACAATACTTCCGGACTTTTACCGTCGCAGATTTTCTTTTCAAAAAATGTATGTGGCACAAGCAGAGGAGATGCTGGTGACTGAATGCATAAGCTATCGACCCATTGTTGTGTCAAGTAGAAGAACCCTGGTCGTGTCAAGCCGGGGCTAATCGCATACATGTCTGGAAAGCCCTTTTGACATTTAATAGAATGACTAGTGCGAGCTTTACTAGTGGCACGCAGGCAACTAGTGCACATATTTGCCTCACAAGTAAAATGTATGTCAAAGCTGTGAGTGAGGGCAAAGAGCAGACTAGTACATGGACCTCAAGTCGGGTCTGAAAAATAATTGAATAAATACTCCTTCCATGACATTGTAAAATTGTTCTCGTGAACATCCTACAAGAGATCGAGTCCCACAGATGCCAACTAGTGCACAGCTTTGCCTTACCCGTATCGTGTAGTTGTCCTATGACTACTAGTCTGCCAAAGTTGTCCTACCAGTGTGTAAAAATGTCACACAGTGATGGAAATTAAGTTACTAATTTGACACTAGTGAGCTGGATCGTCTGACTAGTGGATGGATCTGAAGCTGTTTGACATTTAAATGTCCATCTGAAGATCAATGTACTAGTATGCTCGTTGTCCTCACTAGTAGACAATTGAGCTCACTAGTAGAATGACTATGGAGCACTAGTAGAATAATTGTCTGTAATGAGTCATGCTTTTTTTTTTTTTTAATTAGAATTATATTTCTCGGTAATTGATTATTTTGGCCATGCTGTTAGCACTAGTGAAGCAAAACTAATGGCCATTTTGGTGCTACTAGTGCATGACTCATGCATCTAAGTTGGACATGGCACCACTGCACAGTTTATTAGGTTTTAATGAAAACTCGGCAGCCAAAAGAGGCACTAGAAGTGAAAAAACAGTTTACTAGTAAGACACTGTGTATCTGTGCATTTAGTTGAAGACAAACAACGCACTAGCACATGGATCTTAAGCCAGATACAAATGGACGAAACACAAATGGCTTTCCGTACAGATGCGCTTCACCTACAAGACAGTGTACATAATTCTGAAATGCATCTGCTAGAGGACGCTCCTGAGACCTTTTTCTATCGAATCATTCCAGTCGGATGCCTTGACTCAAGAGGAGGGAGGAGTAGAGAAGCTTTTTTTTTTCTTTTTCCTTAAATGTACAAGGCGCCTTACGACCTTTTCTCAGACAAATCCAGGCGTCCAAGCAGTGTGAGACAATCCGCCAACATGCCAACTACTCAGGCCTTTTTGTGACGGGACATACTATTCTCGCTCTTTTTCAAGCTTTGTATGGGCACACTTCCTCCGGCCTGCAGTCACATGGTGAACGCTGCACACGTGCGCACACGGACATACAATGAAGGATGCTTGATTTGTAGACCCAACTAAAGCTGCATTTGCATGCAGACTACCTAAAAAGTACAGTGAACCCCCAATTGAAGAGCTTCATGTCGGGTTTTGCCACCATTTTGGTGCCAAGGAACTATGTTCAAATGAGTTGAGATCTGTGTGGTGCTTTACCACTATCTTGGTGCCAATGCGCTAGGTGGAAGCAAACTGAGGAGCTCCATTTGGGAAAAAAATGGTGCTTTTGCAACATCTTGTGGCATCTTGGTGCCAAGAGAACTTTGTTGAAGAGATTCATATAATGCTTTGCCACCATTTTGTGACATCTTAATGGTTAGGAATGAAATGAGAGTGCATTATGAAGCTTTATGTAATGTTTTGCTGCCATTTTTGTGTCAAGGAACGATGCTGAAATGAGTTCTCGTAAGCTTCATGTCGTGCTTTGCCACCTTTCTGGTGCCAAGTAACCAAGCTGAAGTGGGTTGAAGAGCTTTACGCAGTGCTTTGGTGCCAAGAAACTATGTTGAAATTGAGCTTAATTTAGACGAAAAGTAGTGCTTTGCCATTATGTTGTGACAACTTGGTATCAAGGAACTACGTTGAAGTGAGTAGAGGAGTCTCATGTAGTGCTTTGCCGGCATCTTGTTATCAAGGAACTGTGTTGAAGTGAGTTGAGGAACTTCATTTCGTGCTTTTGAACTATCTGGTAGCATCTTGGTGCCTAGGGACTACGTTGATGTGAATTGAGGCGCTTCATGTTGTGCTTTGCCACTTTGCAACATCTTTTGGAATTGTAAACCATTTCATCGCAGATTAAATAGTGGGGGTTCACTGTAAATGAATACGAGCCTGTCCGACAGGGTTCAGCAGCATTTCTGGTGAATATAAAGAATCATCTTCCCACCATATACATTTAAAAAAGCTGATAAAATACATGTGCAGTTCAGATGAAAAACAAAACAGTGGAAACATATTTTACAGAAGAGTGCAGGCTTCTTTTATCCATCGACTAACAGCCAATTTGAGGCGGCTGTTGGTTTGACATAATGCTGGTGGCACATTTTGATAATGAAATGACACTGGTTGGAGTTGCTTTGGATGAGTGAGCAGAACCTTTTTTTTTTTTTTAATATTTTTGTTGCCATCCCAATTATTATCCCGAGAATTTAATTATGAAGATAAGTTGATGGGAAGGACATATGTGTCAATGTATTTTTTTCTGTTTGCCTTGTACACAAAAAAAAAAAAAAAAAATTGTCACATCCTGTAAAATGTGTATTTCGACACATTGGACACTAATAACAGTAGTGGTTGTCATTTGGTTTTTGATATGCACTAACAGCAAAGCAACATACCTCATTTTGTATGGATCATAAGTGTGCGATGGGCACTGTCGTCCTTTCGGGTACCTTTTAGAAAAAGAAGAGGAACAAAAAAATGACGAATGGCCAAAAGAGTTATCGAAACTCGGTAGCAATCTTAAGCCAGCTGAACTCTTATAATTTATTAACCTAGAAAAAGGGCTGTTTTAATGTTGTGGCTGTTGACTATTGCAAATCGCTATGTTCAGGTTAGTTTAAACACTTCGTGGGGAGCTGCACAGCTTTGTGTTACAGAAAGACTTCTCATTTCCATTCTTTGCATTTCCTGTCGGACCCCTTGATTTTTTTGTTTTTTTTTCAGGCAACGTGCTCATCAACAAAGGACTCATTTGTGCTAATTTGATCTATTTACATAAATGACCAAATAATGTATGTAGCCTTTCACATCGCAGTCACAATATGTATATGGTGATAAATATATATTTAACTAAATGCCTTATTAGACGAGGGACATTCAGCCTGATTAGAATTGCCAATAAAAGAGCAATCATCCTTCAAAGATCTTCTGTCGTCATTTGGGATGGAAATGGGGAGAGTTAACTAATTTGTGCGTGATTGAGCATTTATCCGATATCCATTTTAAGGCCTGTGCACTAGTACACTCTTTGTCCTCATTAGAAGACAATTCACCAAATAGGCAGGAGCATGATGGCACACTGGTAATGATTTTCCCACGACCAGTGCCACTTTTGGCCTACCAGTACTACCTTACTAGGAAACTACTGTGCTGCACTGCTATGTCCTACTTGTAGCCCTTTCGGACCCTACTAGTAGCGCCAAACAGCCACAAGTAGTTTTGCCTCAAAAGTTGGCCGGTTGGTAATTTGCATAAATGTCAGTTGGTTAAAATATGGTCCCCTTTAAGACATAAATTCAACAAGTGGATTGAATTGGCGTACTAATTATGCCAGAGCGTACCGTTACATATGGACTTAACTACATGTTACCGTGCACTAGTTGACTAAGTGCTAACAGGTACGGCCAGTAATAATGTCAGAATGCTACTTGTTTCAATCTAGCGCTTCACATAGTGTGCAGATGTCAACTAATGGTAGTTTTGCCCCACTAGTAAACAAATAACCGACAGTTGTCACACGAGGACAAATGTGAGGAAGGGTTTACTCGTTAAGATGGATAGGAAAGATAAAATACAATGATCAAATGGTTTTCCCTAAAATCAGAATCAAAAACTCATCAGGTGGTCAATTCGTCTTTTATTTCACTCACATGTGCATTAATTGACAGTTATGAAATGGTCTAAATTACATCTTGTCATAATTCCTGAATTATAAACCTATAATTCTAGAAATTTACAAAACATACTAACCGGATGTAACAGCAAACAAATGTTTTTGTGCTACATGATGGAAATATTTTAAAAGTGGGGGAGGACATGAATTGATTTGATAAGAGTAAGAATATGTGAAAATAAATGACAACTAGAGACAAATATTGACATGTTACAAAGACAATCTAAGTACAATTCAACGTGTGCACAAAGCGGAATTGTCAGAAAAACCCTACGATGCATACTTTTATACAAAATAAAAATGATTTACCCGGCCAATGTGGTTGCACCACCTAAAAGACTTATTGCAAAAAATAAAACATCAGAGGGTCCCCAGTTTTTATTGGTTCGACGTGGTGGACATTTAGAACTGCCGCGTTCCTTTGAAAGGCTTAAAGCTGCCCGTGTTGCCGCCGCTGGAAACGGAGCTGCTAGTGATTTGGACGATGCGGCTCATTCCAGATGAATGACTGGGGTGGGGGGAGGGAAAAAAAAAAAAGTTAAGGATCAGGAACATTCACTGTTTTAATTTTTAGAATCAATTATTCTAGACTGTCCCAAGAGATTAATCAAATAATCAGATAAAAGTTGAGTTTGCATTTTTAAACAATACCTTTACAAAATATGCACGTGATTTTTATTATTACGGTGTTATTGTTGTCCGCTTGGGATCGCTATCCTTAAATTTTCAGAGCTGCCAACCTACAGAAATTCAATTTTTCCCTATTTTTATAATGTCGGAACCATCATGAGTGGTTTGCATCTTGTGACATGACCTGTATACAGTATTTGTTCTCTCCAAATTTTCTTTGAACACTGGATTGTAATACCTTCACCCCCCTGCGCTGTGGAGGTTGGTCACGATGCCATTAATGGTGGTCTTTTGATTGTTTCTTCACAGCTCTCACAATGTTTCTGTCAGCAACTGCTGCTGATGCACTCGGATGACCTGTTCGATGTCTTTTGCTCAGTACACCAGTGGTTTCTCCTTTTTCAGGACATTCCAAATTGTTTTGGCTCTGCTCAATGTTTGTACAATAGCTCAGGGTTTGCACCCCCCTTCTCTCAGTGTTTCTCCCAAAGAGTTCTCTGGTCTTCATGTTTGCTTCATAGCAAATGAAGATGTTACATATGAAACCTAAAGCCAAAAACAAGCACGGCATCAATGTAAAAACCAACACGCGAGCAACTGGAAACATCCATCTATCACGTGTTCAAAATACTTTTGCTCACTTAGAATTGGAAGGCTACAACCAAAAGATACCCTGTTTTCTCTTTTATGCTTCTTTAATTCTTGTGCTTGTTTGAGATAAATGATGAGGCCAGCAGTCTTTTTTCTTTCTCTTCAGCTAAGCAAAGATTGATTTTTTTTTAAATTTACATCTTTTTTTACTTCAGAGAGGCAGCTCACCTCTGCAAGCAGCCACTTATTGTGTCCTTCTTAGAAGTCAACTCAAAGAAGAGCTCACTACCAGTGACGGACAGTTTTAGTGGTTATTGAAACAGTTAAAGACTCAGTAAAACGGTCATTGGCCTCGTAGACACATAGTACTTGATCTTCTTTTGTGTGAAAAAAGTGAAATTATTCCAAACTTTTGACATTTTATTGTTTTGCATAATCATTCCTCACTTGTGTTGCATGAGTCTACAGTAACAGTCCATTTGGAAATTATCACTGCATAGCTTCAAGGCAGAGAATTTATTATTTTTTTTCTTCTAAACTCGTTAAGCATCTAAACCCTAAGTGGAGTGTTATGCTACAATCATATCCTGCTTTGTAATAAAATTGAAGGGAAAAAAAAATTGTCCAGATCTTAAATCATTAACACATAATGCTTGACCTGGGAACATTCGAGCCTTTTGAAAACAATGAAAAGGATTGTTTACATTTCATCTTGCAGCCAACTTGAGTGATGTCATATAAGGTGTGCACGCAAGATTACAATTACAGCATGCCATCGCCCTCAAACTGGTCAGTGTTGACTTCAATCATGTTCCTCTCTCATCCACTAACTTCACAAGGGGACTGTGCAAAAAAGAGCAAATTAAGCTGTGGACCTCCTGCATGCCAAATGTCAACGTGAAGGGAGCTCTTGTATATTTTAATGTGTGAAGACAACGTTGGGGCATGACAGCCAGCACAATTTTTTTTTCCCATTTTCAGTTAACATATGACAAAGATAATGACATTCAAACATCACTGACCACCCCTGAAAAAACAGGACAAGAAGGGTGAATTTTTTGACAAGAAACAACATACTCTGGAGTGACAGAGTCCCAAAAAATACAGTACTCTGTGCTTCATGCAACTAATGGTGCCCACATAGTGGTGAATAAAAGAAGGCAAAAAAGCGATTTCCGCAGATTCGTCTATTTGTTTGCCGATTTAATAGAGGTGTTAAAACTGTAAAGTAGAGTCTCAAGGGACAAACTGTTTTACCCAGACGGCGGCGACATCATGCTGCCACGACTGTTGCTCATCCTGCGGTTTTCGGAGAAGCCTCCTCCTCCGCTGCCGCCGCCTTGAGAAGCCGAGCCACCCTGCCATTCCTTCCTCATGCCTTGCTCCCTGCTGTGACGCTGCACCACCACCCGGCGGCCCGAGCTGAAAGGCTGCATGGACACGGTAAGCCAACTTGAGTATTTATTCCATATACTTGAGATCCAGTTTAAGGACCATATACGAGTATGTTTGTTGTCCTCACTAGCAAGACAATTCAGTGAACCAAGCAACTGCATCCTTCAATCACCCCGAGGGCGCAATCAAAACAAATCATTCAATGTGTTGCACTAGTAACACGACAAGTTCCAAATAATTTGGGATTCTTTCGCAAGAAAGTGGGTCTGGAAAGCCCGCGCTCCACTGCAGGTCAACCCCAGTCCAAAATAAACCGTGCAATCAAATTTGTTGATTTACTGTAAACAATGTCAAAACTCTTGACCTGCTGAAGTCCATCCTCATTCAAAATGGCATGCATCGAGACGATAGTTTAAGATCATTCTGCATTTGATCAGTTTTAAATAACCAGAAACACATGTAAAAACACGTTGTTCTACAACTGCACCGTAGTCTCTCCAATCGCGCACTGAACCGTCTTATTAGATAGAACTGAGTGCAGTAGTACATGGACCGGCAGTTAAATTAAAAAAAAAAAAAAAAACCCTCAAACGGCTTTATGTAGGAACCGATGAGTAGTCATGGGTCATCATAAGAAGATGGGAAGCAGACCTGGTTATTCATCACCATGGGTCTTCCTCCGTCCTGATCACTAAAGGAGCCTCTTCCTCGGCTGGCTGAAGAACCTCCTCTGAGTGCAGAACCAGGCCCGTCTCGGCCCGATCGCTCCGTACGAATTCGCATGGGTGCACTGGGTAAACCACAAGAACACCAAAGCAAATAAACTGAGGTAACTAAGAGGAAGGAGAAAAAAAAAAAGTAAGGGCGGCAAGGGGGAAGGGAAGGGTGTACCGTAGCTCGCCCTTGTTGGCATTCATGTCGGTGTTGTTCTTCCATCCGTGGCCTCCGTCCCTGGGGGGGCGGGGGCCGGACATGCCGGATATCCTGGCTCCCATCGGACGATCGTGGATCTGGATGGGCCGCCTTTCGTCTCGATCCCTGCGGTCAGTGTCACGGAGGTCGGTGCGGGAAGGTAGCGGCTCAGCCCGGCGCACGGCTTCAAAGTTCTTGGGGTACCGCTCGAAGCTGGCGCCCTCCCGTGGAGGAGAGATGCGACTCTTCTTTGCTTCGGGCTCTCCGGTGAACCGGTTGCGTCTGTAAGATGACAAAGGTAAGAGTGAGTAGAGGGGGTGCCCGGACACCCTGCGGAGGAAAATCATTTCGGACACTCGTATCTGGGATCTTGCTATTTCGGTCCTGGCCCACAGCTCGTGACCATCGGTGGAGGTAGGAATGTAGATCGAGAGCTTCACCTTTTGATTGTGCCTTCTTCACCACGACAGACCAACACAAAGTCCGCACCACAGCAAACACTGCACCAATCCGCCTGTTGATCTCCCGCTCCACCCTGTCCTCCCTCATAAACAAGACCCAAGATACTTAAAACTCCTCCACTTGGGGTAAGATCTCATTCCGGACCCGGAGAGGGCATGCCATCCTTTTGCGACTGAGGACGATCTTTTTCCGACCTTTGGTTAAGATTTGGAGGTGCCGATTATCATCCCAACTCTTCACACTCTGCTGCAAACCGCTTCAGTGTGATCCTGACATGAAGAGGCCAACAGCATCACATCATCTGCAAAAAGCAGAGATGCAATACTGAGGCCTCCAAACCTGACCCCCTCAGTGCCTTGGCTGTGCCGAGAAATTCTGTCCATAAAAGTTATGAATAGAATCAGTGAAGGAGGACAGCATTGGCGGAGTCCAACTTTCACTGGAAATGAATCCGACTTACTGCGGGCAAGGCAAACCAAACTCTTACATCGGTGATGACAGAACAGCCCATATGAGAGGGTTCGGTACACCATACTCTTGAAGCTCCGTGCACAGAACTCCCCAGGGGACATGGTCAAATGTCTTCCACAAAGCACATGTAGACTGGTTGAGTGAACAACCTCGTAGACCCTGCCAAAGGTGTAGTGCTAATCCTGGGCTGCATACTAACAATTCTCAATACAGATAACCTTTTTCCAACACAACATTCTTACAAACCAACAAACAAAATGTGTTGGGGGAAAAATTTAACAACTTAAAGTCCTTCTAAAAACCAACTTGTTGGGAAGTATGGGAGTGTCTGTACTTTCATACCTAAAACACTAGTTCAGTGACTGATTTGTTCATACTTTGTACAGCTAAGATTTAAGCGAACCTGTCAAACGTGTTGGTCTGCTCGTCAGTGGCCTGTGGGAAGCGGCTCCTCGGGCGGGTGTTGAAGTTGGAGAAGCGGTTCTGTGGCCGGTTGAAGTTGCCGCCTTGGTTTAGACGAGTATCAGCTGCATCGGCCGGAATCTTCTTGTTGCCGTTCCAATATGTGTTGTCTCTCCGACTGAAATGTGAAACATATTGTGATTTCACTCTGTCTTAAGTGTTATTTTAAAGCATGTTCTCATTATAAACCCTGCCATTTAACTGATTGTCGTACTGTCTAACGAATACAACCATGATGTACCGTAATTTCTGGACTATAAGCCGCGACTTTTGTCACACGCTTTCAACTTTTCACTTTCAACACCCGAAAGACATTGTCGTGAAAGTTGACACGAAAGCGTAGATGGTAGAAAGCCTAATGAAGGAATGGTTGACCGAGTGCTACGGCAAGCGAAGATTTTTTCATACAAAAAAAGCGTTACTTGGCTGCAAACAGTGACTTTTGTGTGTGTGTGTGTGTTTTTTTTTTTTTAAACCAGCCCTGTTAGTGCTGTTTTACTGCCGTGGTGCTGCTGCGTTACAGGCACTATTTGGGAAGAAAAGTTAATGTTATTAAAACTTTGAATCCGTTTGCTGTGTACCTTCTTTGTAAATATCTCATGTTACACTGTGGGCACCTGCGGCTTCTAGACAAGTGTAGTGGGTGAGACTTATAATCAGGTGCGCTCTGTAGTCCGGAAATTACGGTGGTTTAGCCTAAAAAACAAGTAAAGAAGGAAAAGCCACATGGCCCAATTTGGAACTGAGATTTTTGATATTTTGGTCATTTCCTTTCCAAGCCACTTGATTATTTCTCTTTCTTGTATGTAAATTGATGTAATCTTCTTCCTTATCAAAGGCTTATTAGTAAATGGAACTCAGTCATGTGACGAGTAGTCCAATGTCTCAAAAACAGAATTGAATAATTTCTTTAAATAAATAACTGTAGGTTGAAACCATCAGAATCACTGCCTGTGGTAAAACGGTACAGGCATTATTTCTGCAGTGGCTATGAAAACACGTTCTCTAATTCCTCTCCATTATGATTTACTTCATTTTAGTTGGATTGTTTATACGTCAGAGATCCCATCATGGAATGAAGAAAATCGAAGAATGAAAATAAATACATGAAAACAACATAATACATAGAATACACAAAAAGTGAAAAGATTTATCCTGCTTTAAATATTCTCAAGATGTAAAAAATATTGGCCAAGTAATTCTGGACTAAATATCGGGGGAAATGTATGTAATTTACCCACATACAAAATTCAGCAATTGTTGATGTCGTTATTAAACTGACTCAACAGGCAGTTTGTAGTTTTTTTCTCTTCTAATTCTTTTCCTCTCTACGTTTGGTTGCCTCGCAGTCTGTTTCAGTGCAAGGAAGCCCTTATTCTCCCATAGTTGTTCACCTTCCCCATTGCAAATACTGCAAAGTGGTTTTCTTGGATCTTATTTAGTGTTTAAAAAATGTGCTGCTTTTAAATAAATGTCCTGCTAACTCTTAGGGAGGATGCCTGTAACCTGCAATGTTGAATTAAGTTCAACGCATTACACGATACCAGAAGTTAAAACACGTTTTATAGCAAAGGTGAGGCCATATTGTACTCTTGTATGCGATAGAATGAGATACTGTATATACGAATCCCGGGGAACATTAATTTTACTTTAGAGAGTTTCTGGATCTCACAGGGAACAAGCGAAACTGAGAAGCACATTGCTAAGCAGACCAACTAAAACAAAACGTTTTTACTTACCCAAACCTACTTTTGGGTTAGAAAAATTAATGTGATTCAGCTAAATACAGTCTGTCTGGGATCCCTGAAGTGTGAAGGGCAATTAAGAAGATGAACATGTGACTTCATACATAAAAGGTAAAGGTTTTTAGATTTTGCAAATTTGAACAAATTAGCGAAAAATTTTCCATCGGATTCTTTTGAAAGTTGAACAACTTGACAGGCATTAAGTGTCATGGAACTGATTCCAGCATTCCTGCATCTTAAAGTCAACAAGACAATGCATAAATAAAAGCGTACAGACCCATGTTCCACATCACGGCCTCTCTTCAGGTTTCTCCTTTCCTGCTCATAACGGAGGTGCTCCTGCTGTCGTCTGAGCTCTTGTTGCCTTGCTATGTGTTCTGCCTCTTTTCGCCGCTCCTAAAAAAATAATAATGATAATAATCCACACTAGAGTAAAAAACTATTTCCAAAAATGACTTCATAAAAAAAATTCCTTTGACACTAGTTCCATTTGCAGGCTGCTGACTGTGTACATACTTGCTCTATTCGGATTCTCTCCCTTTCAAGCTTCTCCCTCACAAAGCGCTCCCTCTCCAGCTTTTGCCTTTCCATCTCCAGTCTCTGCCGTTCACGGAAGAGGTTCTCACGCTCTTCGCACTCCCGCTCCCGGCGCGCCTGTTCCACCATTTCACGGTGCCTATAAATAATCAGCATAGAAAACAATTTACCACTGAAAGAAACTACTACACATTCAAATTAAGTGTGATGTCAGGTCCTGCTTGCAGAGTGACAAATGAAGAGACCCAAAAAGCAATTTGCCGGTCAATGATGTGCCAGAATTTCCTTCTTTAGCAAAAAGTCTTGATACAATTCAAGTATACTCCTACTTCAATATTTATGTCCTTTGTGATTAATATACCTGCGAGTGCGCTCCATCCGTTCACGCATGCTCTGCTCCTTTATCTTCGCAAAAGGAACAAAGCCGTCCTCCTTACTGACAAACCGCTGTTTGTTTTTAATCATCTCCAGCTGCAGGGGGAACAGCAAAATTTTACATTGATGCACCACCCCACGGATGAAAACAAAACAAAAAACATGGAGAAAAAATATATAAAAACCTCTTCAGGGGGTATCAGCCATTTGGGACGTCTTTGCATGGGCATCGGAACAAAAGGCTGGAACAGAACAAACCAAACACAATTACACTGCATGACCACGTGAGGATGCAATAAAATCAAACCTGAGTCTAACTCTTACCTTCTCAAAATATCTTGTTTTCCTAAAAGGTCTGGTTTTGAAAAAAGTCAACTTTCCTTTGGTTTCATCTCCCTCCACATTACTGCCTGGACTCTTTGACCCTGGAGCAGAAATAAAACCAAAACAAAACAAAATAAGCCGCCTCATCTGTTAAACTGAATTCCACATGTTAAATATATAACAAAAAATGTCCAAAGGATCTGTCATGTCTCATTGAAGAACCTTGTGCAGAATTTGATTTACCAGAATCACATTTGCCACTTTTGTTGTCCTTGGATAAATCTTTTTCCTTTTCTCCAGATTTGTCATCTTTTTGGTAAGGTTGTGATCTACATGGAAGGAAGAAACATGTAGTCATTACACCGGGAAGGCAGTCCTTTTACCATTTTATTCCTCACCCACTTGTTAGACAACTTCGTCCCTGTGGAACTTCTTTTTTCACTTGACTTGCCAGTACTTGCTTTTTCATCCAATTCAGTCTTTGAGGATTCTTTTTTGAAAGGATAATTTTTGGCCTAAGAAAAAACACCACGAGGTTACAGAAATAACAGTAGCAATGGATCAATAACACTTTTCTCAGACAGTCTTGCAATTTTGATGCAAATCTTTGTTTTTTAAATTTAATTACCGTACTGTTGAAAACAATGGATCAATAACACTTATCTCAGACAGAGTCTTGCAATTTTGATGCAAATCTTTGTTTTTTTAAATTACTGTTCAAAACATTAACTTTAACTATAGCATAGGCATTGTGGGCGTGAATGGTTACTTGTCTATGTGGGGCCTGCAACTGGCTGGCAACCAGTTCAGCTTTAACGTTCTAAAGTTCACATCACTTACGCATTCAACATATATTTCTTGTCCATCAAGCTCTGAGCAGTCCAGCTGAGAGATGCAACGTGTCACCTCTGTATTGGAAGACATGGTCACCAGACCATAACACTTTGAGCCAGGGCTGCGCGCGTTTGTTAGGACTTTGGCACTTAAAACCTGTAGGCAATAGGTAAGAGTTTGATTTCAACCATAAAGGGCAGAAAATAAAAAGACGTCGGAAAATTACCTTGCCATATTTGCCAAAAAGGTTCTTCAGATCCGCTGCTTTGGTGTTGAAGGACAGGCCACTCACCCAAACGTTATGAGAAGAGCTAATGCTGCTGCTGCTGCCAACAACTGCTTTCCCACAAAAAAAAAAAAAAATACAAGGATTGGATATTAAAAAATGCACACACACAAAAAAAAAATTACGATTTCCCACACGCCTTACCCTTATCATCTTTTGCAGCTTTTCCATCTCTGTCTCGGGAAGAGCTACAAAGGAAATAGTGCCACAACAAACAGCCGATGAGCTTTAGCAAATGAAATATTCACGTGGAGACGAGGATACATCTTTTGGTGAAAAAAAACATACACATTCTGTAATTTTTCAAAAGAAATACAATCCTGTGAACAAGGCGTAGATGTGACAATGTCTCAAAGGCTTCAGAGGTTTTCCAGGATGGTGAAGGGTCAGGATGTCAGCCAATTAATTCTCTTGACCAATGAACTCTTCAGGTGGCTTGTGGACCACCTCAGTGAATACAAAAAGTGCCATCAAGAGAACTAATGCTCTTATTGATGCACTTCAGCCAAAAATGGGAAAGGCTTTAACAGCGCTGGAAGAGGCAAAGAAACAAAGTGTGCGTTTTCACCTCCTGGGTACTGTCGCAATTTACCATGAAGGGGAAGAATACAAAAAAAGAGGGATTCGGATCATCTGTGAACACTTCCCGTATGGCAAAAAAAAAAAAAAATCTTGAAGCTACCCACAATGTTGCGCTGTTATAGAGGTGAACTTGATAGTAGTATCAAAGAACTGACATAGAAAGACAAACCTCTTTGCTTGACCAGATACCCCAGTAGATGAGGGGCCTTTCTTCCCAGAATCTTTTTCTTTATCTCCGGCTTCAGCTTTCTTTGTGACCTCTCGGCTGTCCTTCGAGGCTTCGCCCCAGGCTCCATCATCTTGCTTACCATCTTTATCTTCCATCTTCATGTCATCATCTGTATTCATCTCGGCAGAGGCCTCAGGCTCATCGCTGCCCTTGTCGGCCTCTGAATCTGGAAGTTTTACATGTTTACCTGTGTCCAGAAGATCATCGCCATCAACATCTAAGGTGATGGCATCTTCATTTTGCATCGACACAGATAGGTGATCGTCCTCGGCTTCTTGCAAGGAATCCATGGCTTCAGTAGCCATCTCTTCTTCGGATTCCAATTCGGGTTCAGCCTCCCTGTCCGCCTCAGGCTCGGCTTCCCCATCGCCATGCGGCTCAGCCTCTGGCTTGGCTTCCCCATCGCCATGCGGCTCAGCCTCTGGCTCGGCTTCACCATCGCCATGCGGCTCAGCCTCTGGCTCGTCCTCGCACTGCAGCTCGGCCTCTGCCTCGTCGTCACCCTGCGGCTCAGCCTCTGCCTCGTCGTCGACCTGTGGCTCAGCCTCTGCCTCATCGTTAACGTGCCACTCGGCATCGGCCTCAGCCTCTTGCTTGGCATCCGCGTCCACCTCTGGCTCGACATCCGTGTCAGCATCCCGCACCTCAGGGTCTGAATCGGCCTTGCCGATCGTGGCTTCTGTCTCCGGTTCAACCTCAGGTTCAGCAGTGGTCTCACCCTCAGGCTCAGGCTGAGCGAGGTTGTCCTCGGTGAGCGCAGGCTTACAATTTTCACGTGTATGATCATCTGTATCTGTTACATCTGAGGGATTCAATAAGGATACACATGGCAAAAAACACGTTTACATGAACATGTCACGTTTGACCTAAAAGTAGAATAGAAAGCACATTTAGTGTTAGTGGTCATCGAGGGCGTAGACACCACAAGAAGACACAAAACACACAATCTTCATTGAAAGGGAGCGAGGATTGAGTATTCATCACTTGGAAAGGACTCCAGCGAAGACAATTCATTGTGAATGTCTCATTCCTGATGCCACTCAATGTGGGGAAGCTTTCCTGGTGGGATTCAAATCAGAAATGGAGGGGAAGGAGGGTTTAACCATTCACCCCTTACTTTCATCGATCGCGGTGGTCAGTCCATGAAAGGTGATCTGTATTTTTCAAAAAAATTTAAAATAAGTCCTGAAGTCCTTCCTTTTGATGACTGTCTTTCACAACTCTCCGACGTGTCCAGTGAGCAAAAATACAGCTGCGTGTACAACAGGTTTCTCTGTAACCAAACCAGTCTTTGTCGTTGTAGTCCAAACATCGGTGAACTGTCCGTGATTCACGGAGAAGAAATCCATGCGATTTAGATTGCCAACTGCCTTGAAAAGTTGACTCAATCCTGTGATATCCCAAATGCCGATGCATTGTGAGCTTTTAAAATATAGATCACGGGCCGTCTCTTGCAGCGATCTCACGTGATGGCTGCTTTAACAAGAGTCCATCTGACAACCATTCCGTTCACTTGGGCTGTCCATGATGTCATGTCCATGATGACAATCAATAATGGCAAGATGATCCTCAAAGTCATGAAGTGTTCATTTGATCACATAACCAGATATCAGTTAGAATGCCATCCGTTGCATCTTGTCACTCCTGCAATGTGGCAGTCGCGTTCCAGATCCATTGGAAGTGCTGCCACAGTCGCATTCCAGATCCATTGGAAGTGGTGCCAAACCAACAGCATACTTCCTACAAAGTTTGAGCGCAAGGCTTTTCCATTGCAACACATGTGGGACATCGATAATAAAGATATCCATTTCATGTGCCCTAACCTGGAAAACGAAGCCACTAGGGGAACCTGGTGTGCATATGACCCTTCTGGCCACCATGTGGACATGATTCATGTAATATAAAATAACCTTATGCATTATTGTTCCAGTATACATACCTTTCTCTGACTCATTCTCCTCTGTTTCCTAGAAAAGACGACGAGTTAGGTGAAGTGAGCCATGAAGTATTTAGAAACAACAAACAAGGAAAGAAAGATATCTGTGTGGGTTTGGTCAAGTATGCCACAAGATTCTTTGTTAGACTTCATATCAACTACTTTAGATCTGGTTTGTAGCAATCTTATTTTCTTAAGTGTGAAATGATCTCACATTGTGGCTATTGTCTTATATGCACTCTTTCGTCATGGCTTGGTACCATTGCACCAACCTATTTCTACATGCAGTGGGATGTGAACGTGTAGCAATGTTAGTACATGTCGAGAAATTATCCCCACAAAGCTTTGAGGCAGACTTTGCCTCAACTTTAAACAAAGACCAGGACTGCAACCAAAAATTATGTAACCTACCTTGGAAGGCACATCATCTTCCATGGTAGTCTCCAGGTCCAAATCAATTTTACTACCTGAAACGTTGAGTGCTGACATTGAAAACAGCCCAACTTCTTTGAGAGCCACAATGCGAGCCATGCAAACAAGAGCTTACCTTTGCCTTTTCCACTTTTACGAGTAGATGTGCCTACTGGAGGTTGTCTTTCAACACTGCTGAAGTCTGCATCTTCACTCTCAAGAGCCTTGATCCAGATAACCATCTTAGTTAAACTTGTCAAGTTCATCCTAATTACACTTCTGACAAAAAGTGGCTACACGAATCATGTCAGGAAAAACCTGAGCCCACCTGCAGAAACTTCCCAAGTGCTTTTGAAAGAACACTAGATGAGAAACATTCGCAAAGCCAAACGCCTTCAATTGTTCTGTCACAAGCATTTCGTTGATGAAGAAACAGATTTTCCCCCGAGCAACTTGGCTAATATTATTTAAATGTCAAATCGTCACACTTGCGTACAAACAAATGTGATAATCATATGTGGCCTCTAAAAACATTAAATTGTGATAACACAATCAACAACAGCGGCTCTACGGGCAGAAGAAAACATCACCTACTGCGAATAATCCCATACTTTCATGTAAAGGCTAAAAGTACAGAACAAAGACAACGCTGTCCTGCGTTGGCTTTGTTCGTCCCTCAACATTAACATATATGCAATTATAATCTTCATTTTACTTTTTCAACTGTCGTGGCAATATGTTACCATGACTCGCTATTGTTGTGGATTTACTACGAATAGGGACAAACGTAGCTAATAAATTGCCTCACGAGACAAAGACAGATTTTTTTTTCAATTCCATTAAACACTGCGTGGCTTTGACCGTTTAATCGCATCCAGTCGGCTCAGCTGCTTTAACCGAGGCTTTAAGATACCTAGCTCAGAGGCTAACAATTAGCTACATGCACTCCATAGCGTTGAACACACAATATGCGCTGTGTTTACCTGCTTCAGTCTGGCGAGAAGGACACTCTTAACACCCGTAGTGTCCAAATTCCGTCGTTTGAGCTCAGATTTCAGATCAACAACCCTTAATGCTGTTATTTTCTTCAGAGCCGTGGAAATGGCTACCGACGCCATTTTACCGACTGACTTATACGTTCACGTGCGCAGATCGAATTCGAGCATCTTTTTCCTTGCTCTCCCCCCCCCTCCCTTTTTCCACTTGAACGCAACAGTGCCCCACGCTGGCCTGGAGTACCCAAGCACGAGTACTCGTGGAATACAAGTAGAAAGAGTAGGGCGTATAGGTAAATAGACTCTTACCAGTAATATTTGTTTTCCACGACTGTACTCTATGACATTTCTGCATACCAATGTAGGGCAGATTCGAAATCATAACAGGACAACTACATCTTATAGTAGTGAGGCAAAAATAGTCCTACTACTGTACTAGTGAAGCATGAGATGAACCAGTAGAATTTTACAATGTCCGACTCACCACTACGAGAAGCACGCAGTTGTCAACTACTGCAGCTGTGCCTCACTAGTAACATGTAGTTGTCCTAGTAGTAGTGAGGACAAGGAGCCAGGCCTAATACAAAGACTGTCAAAATAGAATATGGATATCAAGGTTATCGTATACCAAATAGCACAGCTGTCTAAGACAGTCAGTCACATTTGAATGTTTTCGGAAAACAAAAAAACACATTTATTTTCAAACAACATATTTTGTTGATATTGTGACAGAACTTAAACATTCATGAAGGTACCCTCCACAATTATTGGAAACCTGTGGAGTGAGCAAAGAGGAAAGTGTATTGGAGAGGACTCAGGTTGCTGGGTGATCTATAAAGAGACCGCAAAGTAGAAGGGTTGAAGATCCCTCTTTCTATATTCTCTCATCTTGTGAAACATTATCGGAGAACTTTAGGTTCTGTTTTGTTGGCAAAAGGGGTATTAACATCAGGAGTGCTACTAATTGTAGCACATGATTACAGTCTCAGACTACTAGTAAATGGGACAGGAGAAGAGAGCCAATCTCTTTTTCTTTAACGGATGCTACAGCTTGTTGGTTTCAACTTAGCTTCTAGCAGACGTGTGCACATTTCAGCATGACATCTTTGATCCACTGGTGAAAAGGACACTTTGATTCGCTCCTCTCTCATCTATAACTGCTTCAAACATCAAAGTGTATGCAGGAAAGTGGTTCAGATTGCACGATTGTCTGTGTCTATAATGTGTTGTCTTATATTATTTTGTCATTTTTTGTTAACTTTTCTTCTGATGGTGGCACCCACAGCGGCTCCTCTTGTTGCATGTTGTCTTGAGAGGGAAGAAATTTTATCTGTGCTGTATGTTGCACATACTGCACCTTTGACAATAAAGTTGTACTTGAGTTGACTTGATATCAAAGAATTATTTCATAAAGTGGGGTTTTTCAAAACCCCACTGATTAGATGCACTTGAATTACAGGCTGGATTTTCCCATTTGCTCAATGGAGTTGGGGGGGGGGGCATGTCATAAATATATTTTCAAATATCACCATGTTTACTAACTGGGACACATAGTCACAAGGTGTGTCGGGTCAACGAATCCAATTGTCGTAAAAGTGTCGTAAATGACTAGCTGAGATCTGGCGACCCCGTGCGGCAATGAATACAAGCCGAGTATTGTAGCCAGCCAGAGCGCACAGACGACCTGCTGGGTAAACAACAGTGTTCACTCGGGAGACAGGAATGGGGACTTCGTCGAGGGCTCAGAGTGAGGTATTTCCATTTCATCTAGTAGACACACCGCTTATATGTTGTTCTGTCCTTGTTAGTTTGAAAAGAGATGCTCGTGGCTTTAAATAGTGCTGTGAAATCGTCTATTTGCTGAGTGGAGTTGAGCTAGCCTTCACATTAGCTTAGCACATAGCCCTCCAGGGCCCATTGCTTTCGATGCTGCTTTTCAATTCTCATCGGGACTGTTGTCAATTTCACAATCCAGCCATTAACAATTGCGATTTCTATGTAGGCCCGCCGAGTTACAGCTTGTGTCAACGTTGATATGTATGTTCCGTTTCAAAGCCTGTCAACATTTTCGCCGGGTTTTAACCTCCACGTCGAACCAAAAGACGCGTTTGAACATTAAACATGTAGAATACAGATACGCGTATTCTTTGTTGTTTTCTGTGTGGACTACTATGTGACAGTCTTAAGCGGTTGCTAGCTCCCCCATCTAGTTTTGCCTCTTTCAACTGTTGTCGAAAATGATCTTTCTGAGTTGGCTTGTCCTGTTTCCTGCGTTTCTACACGAAAATAAGTTAATAAGTGGTTTCCATTATGTTTGTGGGAAATATTCGGCCAGCAGATAGTAACTGTTAACCAACCGCCCGAGATGCTTTGATAACATATGCATGCGTTAAGCAAATACGCGCGTTTAATTTCTTTATTTAACTAGGCCGAGAGTCCCAGTTATTGCTTTCACAACCCCGCAGTTGCAATTGCTTTTCAAAACATTTGCTTCTAGCATCAGTAGCCACGTTGGCTCTAATATGGTCATTTGATCTCAGGGAAGAAACATCTTTATTCTTAGTATGAAGAGAATCTGTCCTGTGACTCCTGATGCTGAGCTAGGGGGGAAAGAAATGTGCGCCATTTAGACAGCGTCTCCATTTGGTAGCCGGGACTCGCACGTCACTCAGTTGCATGTCAAACTAGACAGAGAGTTCTTATGGAAAGCAGTTTGATCATTTATTCGATATCCTTGATCTCCATCTTCAGGTCCATGTAACAGTATAGTGGTGCATGAGCGAATTAAACTATGCAACCAAGTGCCAATGTGAAGGGAGTTAGTGTATTTTGATTGAATAAGATTTTGTTTTGTTATTTATGATTTGATTAATATTATTTCTTCTTCTGTGTACAATGCTTTGTTATAGCTGCTGTTGTTGTGATATAAATAAAGATGAGTTTAAGCAACAGATGTTGGAACACTATGGCACAGTGACTCAAAGTGCAGAGGTTGTGGGTATGAATCTGGCCCTGGCATTCCTATCTGGAGTTTGCATGTTCTCCCTGTGCCTATGTGAGTTTTCACTGAGGACTCAGGTTTTCCTCCCACATTCCAATAACATGCGTGGTAGCTTGATTGAACACTGTAAACTCGGTCCCTTGGTGTGATTGCGAGCGTGAATAGTTCTTTGTGTATGTGTTGTCTGCTGGGAACCAGTTTGGGTTATAATTCAGATACTGGATAGCATGACAGGAAATAGGCAAAAATGTTAATCGTTTTTCTCAATAAAAGTCAATGTTTTATTTTGATTCTATACAAAGACAATCAGTGTGCTTTCATGAAGGACTACAGAAATCAGAGAACATTTACTGTTGAGAAGCTGAAATTTGGATTATTTGGACAATCTTAAATTCAACAAGGTATCAGCGATTCATTGATAATCCAAAATAACTATTGATAAATATGCTAATAGATTACTTATCGAGTATCTGTTGCACCTCTACTCACAGAAATATATTATTAGTTGGAAGAGAAGACGGCTAAATTGCTGCCTGGTCGGGGCCGGGGGCGGGGGAGTGTCAGGATCCAATCCATGCTATTCTCGCAAAAGCTGTGCTTGCCATTGTCCCAGCAGTAGTTAGGCCTGGATAAAGGCTGGTGCACTGCATGCCATGGATCCACATTAAACAAGCCAATTTTCACATGGTAAAAATGTCAATAGCAGGGGCCACCAACTTTTTTTGAAACAGAGCGCTACACTTTGGACACTGATTCATATGTTGAAACATACTTCTGAAATAAAACAGATCAAATTACCTTGAGTTATGTTGTTTTCAAATGCCACTGCAACACAAGAGACAATTGACTAAGTCCATAAAGAGCGCCAGTGTTTCAGGTTGCCATAAACAAGCGAACTGTACCGCATCAACCGCTACTTAGATGGCTTAATTCCCCAGAATTTGTACTGAACGATATTGAACCGAACTGTACCGCGTGGTGAAAGGGAGCATGTAGAAATGTGCTCATTTCAGTTGTTTTTCCAATTGCTATTCCCTCAGAAATCATTTGAATACTGCAGTTTATGCTTGAAGGTCAGACCACTGCTGTTTGTTCTGTTCATGGTCATCCTGGTCTTAATCTCAGTTTAGGGATTGTTGAAGTCACCGTGGACCATGCCCTTTAAACATCATCTTCGTTGTATTTTAGAAGTGTTTTAAATGTCACCATGCTGGTGTTTGGCATTAGTCTGGCAGAGTTTTCGCTGGAGTGAAATTTCTACCAGAACAAAGTACCTATTCTATTCATCTTGGGTGTGACATTTTGCTACAGATTTATCCTAGTTTGAGTTCAATAGTACAGCAATTCCATATAGTGGCCCATTTGCTCAGGTATTCCAAGTGATTGTGGCATCCAGTCGCATTGGCCTAGCAAGTGGATGACTTATTGAATCAAATCTCTTGGAGATATTAGTCAAGTCAAGTCGACTTTATTGTCAAATGTGCCTCATGTGCAACATACAGCACAGATGAAATTACTTTCCTCTCAACCACAGGAGAGAGAGGAGCCGCCGCGGGTGCCGTCGCTGCCATCAAAACAACAGTTAACATTAAAGTGACAAAATAATACAACGCAACACATAAGACACAGACAGTCGTGCAATCTGAACCACTTTTTCTGCATACACTTTGTTGTTTGAAGCAGTTATAGATGAAAGAAGAGCGAATCAAAGTGTCCTTTAGTGGATCAACGACGTCATGCTGAAAATGTGCACACGTCTGCTACAAGCTAAGTTTGAAAGTAACAAGAAGCTGTAGCGTCCATTGACGCAAAAGAGATTGGATAGGATTAGCATACTTTTGTTCATTTTATTTTGTTTTTTTGACTCAAGCTTCATCAGTTTTCAAACTATCCCTAGCCGCCCACCCACCCAAATTTGGCCAATGAAAACTTGGAGAAAACTATTTTGGGGAAGTACAGGAAGAAACATATAGAATGGATCAGAGATGAACAGGTTTTAACGGATGCTCGGTGGGTGACCGATATGATGCTAAGAGGCTCCAAAGCAGCAACCTCACTTATTCATTTCCACTGAGCTCTCTTGCCCATTGGCCAAAATCCAGATGCCATCGTGTGAGTTTAACCAAATGCGAGAGTGTAAAAATAAGACTTACTACTTTAA